TTGTTTGCCATTCTAAGTTGTATAAAAGAAAAAACCTCTTTACCCCCCTTTTGAAGAACCCCATGCTGTAGTCTCTTGGGAAAACCTCAGCGGGGAGCTCATTCCACAACCTGAGTGTTCGTGGGAGAAAACATCTCAGAAACCGCGTTGTACGTGACCATTTAGGCTGTAGGGTATGAGGGTGAACTTCTCGATGGCGAAACGGTAGAAAGTGGCGCATCATATAATATAAACATGTTATTTCAACAACAATGCGACGTCCACCATTCTTCCAGTAAAGTCTCACACCATGACGTTATTCTATTTTTACAAACATAGAGCGTAGCTCCTGCCAAGACAGGTTAACAATCAGCCCATAAAACTTTCCTGAAAAACCGTTACGGATTGATGCGATGAGTGATGATCCCGCGAGGGGGAATGACGACACCAGCATTGCTTGTTTACCAGAAGAATACTTTGTACAAAAGTCTGGATATCTTTGTTTCACTCGTGTTTCTGACGTGAAGCGGTTTTTTTTTAATGGATGATAATGGAATGGTGATCCTGTTTGCGCTATCGGTATACGCTGGCGGGGCACCAGTGAGGGATGATAAATGAGATTGAAAAGGCAGGTCGAAGTTAGCTCATCGTGATGGATACATCTGGAATTCAGCACGATGGTTTCCAGGGGGGACAACGTGGAGGTGGACCAGGCAGGGTATATTACTGGTAGAGTCCACATTACTAACAATCTTCCATCCGATGGGCCGTCAGCTTGTTTGTCGTTCTATGTTGCATAAAAGAGGTGGAAAATTTTCTTCTAATATTCTTCAGAGTTAGTAACAGTGGTGTTCCAAATGAACGCGATTAAGCCATAAATATGTCCATTCCGCCGTCTGTTCATAGTTCGATATGCAATCCAGAGTATTTTTACTTGTGACGTCTGGACGGTTCGTTTCTGTTTCGTCACCTGTTCATTGATACACGATTTTTAAATATATTTTTTTATTTAACTTTTCATTGCACCAAATATATAAAAATTACAATGACAATTAGAAAATTCAAATTAAATAGAGAATCATAAAGTATACATCAAAATGTATATATAAAGGTACAAAAGGCGGTTGCTAGGGTAATTTAATTAGTTTCTACCCGCGATTTTGCGTGATACCCCCATCACAATGTGTTATGTTTACCGACCTAGATAAAAAGTAATCTATATCCTTCTCCATCCCATATGGTACGTGTATACCAAATTTCATAGTCATTAGCTAAGCCATTAAGGCGCTATAAGGTAACAAACAAACGAACTCACTTTCATATTTATAATATCAGTAAACATTAGTATATAAAACCGGATGTTTTTGCCATTTGTTGTGTCTACTGTATGTATGTATGTGAATTATGCGACGTCAGAGGTAAGTTAAAGCAAATTTTTATCCAACACAGAATGGCAAACAATCTGACGACCCACCCGATGGTTAATGGTAACCATCGCTTATAGATATAAAAAGCATCATGAACATCTGTGATATCTGAGTTACCTCATAACTCCGTCAGTTATAAACCGATTTGGAAAATTGTATCTGAAAGAATATGTTTATAAATTGGTTACATAAAAATTTTACGAAAGTCGATTAAGTAGTTTAGTTTTGAAATCAGAATAACTGATTTTTTCCAGAATTAAAGTAGGTTATGTTTTGAGGACTACAATCAATTTTCAACGATTATATATTTTAAAACATAAATTCAAAAAAATCAGATATTAACCTCTGATATTTTCAAAGCCTAAAGGCTATACTTCAATCTTGGTAGCATTGCAGCGCCAATCAAACGTCCAACTGGCCTATCACCGCGACGGCTGTTTCATAAAATGCACCTACGACATTGTACCAAACGGTACTAAACCCAGTGCCACGTGGTTCCATTCATGACCGGCGGCCTTGCTCTCCACAAACGATGTTTCCGGCCGTGACGTCACAGCCGTCTTGAAATATGAACTATAATTGAAATGTTTGTTTTTTTTATAAAACTATTTACGGCCAAGGTGTCTATGAATACGTACATAATGTTTACACAAATATTAATACAATATAGATATTTGGGGGGGAAAGGGATTGTTAGTGATGGAGATTGAGAATCCCATTCCTAGCAATATACCCAACCAGGTCGACCTCCACGCGGTTCCCCCTGGAAACTATCATGGTTAATTCCTGATGAATTCATCATGATGTGCTAACTGGCCTGTTTTCATTCTCATCTATCACCCTTCACTGGTGCCCCGCCAGCGTATCCCGTTAGCGCAGGCGGGGCCACCATACCATTTTCACCCATCAGAAAAAAAAATAGGTGTTCGTTTGTATATTTTGAAATTATGTACTTGAGTATTAATCCCTTTTTTTTTAATGCATGATCCCGCCTCTCAATGGCAACTACTAGCAAAACCCCCCTTTATTGGGGGGGGGGGGGGGGGGTATATTTAGGAGATAACAGATAACGGCTGATAGGAATAAAATAGTAACTCCGCCTGCACTATCGGTAATAATCGGTATACCCTGACATCACTGGTGCCCCGTGAGGGATGACAGGTGAGGATGAAAGGACAGGTCAAGGAGCCCATCTTGATGAATTGTCCTGGAGTTAAGCACTATAGTTTCCAAGTGACACCACGGTGGTGTCGACTTGAGAAGCTATATTGTTAGGAAGGCTTGTTAGTACTCATTACTTACAATTGCGCCCCCCCCCCCCTCCAATTATTAGTGGGATATAGCGGCGGATTTTCAACTGTCATTGTAGCTTCTAACCGAATGGGCCGATTATGATGCGTTTTTTTTTTGTTTCAATACTGACGCGATCGAGATGGTTCTTGGCTACGATTTACGAAGATCTGCTCAGGCCTTTCAAGGTCACCAGCTGTTTAATAGATTTGTTTGTGTAGGGTTTTTTTTTTTTAATTTTCAATAAATTTTAGTAAATTTCGTCTTAAATGAATTATATTAAAGCTGGAACAATAATACTTGGCTCCTGGAATGTACAGTACGCATTTTCCCAAAGGTCGCTTCCCACGGCTCGCGCAAAGGTCAAAACCCACGGTTCACACATACGAGTTGGATCCCTGCAAAGCCTACGCGCCGAAGGAAGTGTGTGTCGTGCCAGTGTATGTCTGATCGCTGAGTTAAGGGTAATTGGGACTTTTTTTAGATGGAATGGTTTTTTTTTATTGGATGAAAATGGAATGGTAACCTCGCCTGCGCTAACGGGATACACTGGCGGGGCACCAGTGAATTGTGATCGATGAGGATGAAAACAGGCCAGTTAGCCCATCATGATGAATTCATCAGGAATTAATCATGATAGTTTCCAAGGGGAACCGCGAGGAAGTCGACCTGGTTGGGTATATTGCTAGCAATGGGATACTTAGTCTCCATTACTAACAATCCCTTTCCCCTCCCCCCCATTGGAATGTTTAGAAATGGGTAATATGGGTATCACTCCGGTACCCATCGTCACCAAATTTCACTAAGCAGCAGAGAATATCGTACTGTACCTACTTTTGTCTACGAACAAGGAATTACCTAGAACGAATGATAAAATAAAAACTGTAAATCATATGGTTGCCTCCTTTCTTCTTATGCAAATATAATTAGTAAAAAGAGGACGAAAGACACACCATCAGTTGTTATTTTTGTCAATTCATAGCAGGCTAGTGTATAGAAAATGTTATACGGCCGTATAATCCTACCAAATTAAAATACAACCCGCTTGCACACTTTCTACATAAACTGTGTCGAATATATAATCTAGTAATGTAAAATTTGTCATTGACAAATAATTGACATATCAAACATTTTCTATGTGTACTGTCAAATGTCAATAGTTTGAAGGAATATGTCAAACTGACACCTGTCACGTGACAGGCCAGTGGCGACATCTGTTCTCCATACAAAACTCTTTAACATTATCTTTAATCTCTATTTAGAAATACCTATGGGTAGAACACACAGAGCTAGGTCAACGGGGCATCGCACACGCGCCCGTACTCTTTAGACTAGTTTAATTAAAATTCTACCTTACTGCACATGATTATAGTGCATATTGCATTGTCTAGCCGGCCAGAGGATGGAGGACTGATTGATTTTACATTATATGCTTAGATATTTTTTTATTAAATTTGTAATGGTGAACAAGCTTATGGCTCGCCTAATGGAAAATGATAACTGTTGTCTATAAACATAAGAACAGTACCATGGGCATCGCAGGATATACTGTGATGCCCATCGTACACTTCATCATCATCATCACCATCATCATCATATCAGCCGTTAACTGTCCACTGCTGAACATAGGCCGTACAATAAGTTTTTTTTTAATGTGTGATAATGGAATGGTGACCCCGCCTGCGCTGTCGGTATATGCTGGCGGGGCACCAGTGAGATGTGATAGGTGAGGATGAAAAAGCAGGTCAGTTAGCCCATCGTGATGAATACACCTGGAAATGAGCACGATGATTTCTAGGAGGGCCGCGTGATGGTCCATCTGACAGGATATATTGCTAGCAATGGGACTAATAGTACGCATTACTAACAATACTTTCCCAACCCCCCCCCCCCCCCCCCTCCATACATGTACATACTTAATGATATTTAAAAACTGATACATTTGCCAACATTTAGTATAATTATTAGTGGTGAGATCTTAATCACATTGGCAGGCTAGCAATAGTCATGAATGGTAGTTGTGTTGTTATTTTGTGCTTATACTTAGAAAAACAAATCAATTTATCTCAAAAAGTGTATTTCAGTATAGATACAGTTGTGGTATAGTGCATGCATTGTTGTTCAGTCTGGATGCAGTGTCTAAAGGGAGTAAATTCTATTTAAATTAAAATTACAATCTAGTTAATCTTGTTGACTACCCTCAAGTCAGTAATATTTTCAAGTGCACTTATCATACTACGGTCTTGATATTATAATCTACTGCCATTTGGAAGGCTTAGTGCAAAACCAGTTCAATTGAATAATATGGCTAAGTGTGGGGGATGTGGCAGGTTTCTGAATGCTTCTGAGTCAGCGAAGTGTAATAACTGCAATATTGTCTATCACCGATCCTGTGTGGCCTTACCCACGTCGGGTGTTGTGGCTCCCTCTTGGCGGTGTCCTGAGTGTAATAAAAATGTTATCCGGAATAATAAACCTGATACGCCGGTCAGGGGTCCAGCTCACTTTGTGTCACAAGTTGTCCCTACGGAAAGCATAGCCATGGATACCAGCATTCTGGATGATTCCGTCGGTAAGTCGAAACAGGACCTGAATAGGGCTATTTTGGCGGAGCTTCGTGCCATTCGAATCGAATTCCAGGAGTTCCGTACCGAATTGATTGATTTACGCGCGACGATAAAGGCATGTAATGAACGCATGAATGCTATGGATGTTAAACTACTGGAGTTGGAGAAACGCATTAATGTGCCGCCGTCATCTTCCTCTTCCGACATGCTTCATCTTAATGACGTGATAGCTCAACTTAGGCAGGACTTAAATGATAGGGACCAGGAGTCGCTTATAAATGACCTCGAAATAATTAATATACCGGAGGATAAAGGTGAGAACCCCATTCACATTGTCACCCAAGTTGTAACCAAACTGGGTATCAACCTTGCGCCGTGCGACATAGTGAGTGCCGAGCGAGTGGGTGCGCGTCGTATAATCGCGGCGAATCCAGAGGGTGCTGTGCCCACCCGTCCGCGCCCCATCGCTGTGAGGCTTGCTCGACGTGATTTGCGAGATGAAGTTCTGCGCAATGCTCGCGTAAGGAGAGGTGCAAATACAGCGGACATTGGAGTATCAGGTACATCGCGTCCATTTTATGTGAATGAGCGCCTCACTAAGTACAACCGAGCACTATTTCAAAAAGCGCGGGAAATGGGTCGTCGTTTCGGATGGAGATTTGTGTGGACACGCCGAGGACGTATTTACGCTAGAAAGGATATTGGGAGTCCCTTTCATTCCTTGCACCGTGAATCGGATCTCGACGCAATTTTTATTCCAAATTCACATACATAATTTTACTATTTTTTATTTTAAATATTTTGAGGGTAAAATCGTGAAGTTCAAAAGTATATTTATAGCAAATCGTGAAATATTTGTACCAAATGTGTTATTCATATTGTTGTATATTATATTAATTTTACGCTTTAGTTCTGTTTTCTATGTACGTCTTGCTGTTTGTAACATGTCGCATTGCATGAGTTTGTGCGTGTGTGGGTGTGTGTGGTCGCAATTTTCTCAAAACTTATTTATACACATTTTTGTTTTTTATGTAATTTATTATGTAATTATATTAATAATAACTCAATACTATTATCATCGCTTCGTTTATCTATATACTTGCCGCATTTTTAGTTGGTCAATTATCTTACACATATGTGCTGGTATTCATTACGTAAATATTATTTTAGATCTATATGTATATTCTTTGTGTGTTACAAGATTAAACGCCTACCATTATTTTACTAATTTATATATTCAGATATTTAAAACACCACCTATTTATTCTATTTCTTATTCACCATATCGTTACAGTTACATGATGAATTATGAGAATAATGGTACAAACACTTATCATTTGCGCGATGGATAAAGGTAGTAAATACTTAAAAGTGGGTTTCCTTAATGCAGGATCCTGAGGGACTAATCACGATGAATTTCTGCTGGCCATGGGTCAACACTCGGTCGACATCATGGCTATTAATGAGACATGGCTGCGACCGGGTGAGAGTGGTCGTGCCCCCACAGTGCCCGGGTATAAGCTGCGACACGTACCGCGGCCGTCGGCCGTGTGCGGCGGCCGCGGTGGCGGGGTCGCTTTCTACATCAGAGCGGGCGTCAACGCGCGCGTGCGGACGCACCCGGCTCATTCCACCGTAGAACAAATGTGGCTGACGTTAAGTTTAAATAAAAAAAAATTGCTTATTGGCACGGCTTATCGTCCACCATGGCTCGACACGGACATATTTTTGGATGCTATCACTGAGAGTATCGCCTCTTTCGCTCACTGTGACAACGTAGTCCTTCTTGGTGATTTTAATATTAATTTGATCGATATCAATGAGTCCAAATATAAAAAACTTTGTAATTTTCTCAATTACTGTAATTTAAGACAGATTATACACACACCTACCCATTTTATTAACGACAGTAAGACTCTTATTGATATAATTTGTACAGATGCACATACTAGAAATGTTTCTGTGGACCATATAATTGATCTTGGCCACCATTCATTTCTGTCATGTGAAATTTTATTAAAAAAAGATAAGCCGCACCCTAGAATAATAAAATATCGCCCTTTTAAGGATATATTACCACATTTGTTCGAAGCAGATTTGGCACTCTTACCATGGCATAGCATATGTGACATAGGTGATGTCAACGATATGGTATTAACGCTTAATAGTATTATCTTACAGTTATTTGATCTCCATGTGCCAATAAAAACTAAAAGGCTCACAACGCGACCAACACCTTGGCTTACTGATAATGTAAAGTTTTTAATAAAATTGCGAAATGACGCACAAAACAAATATCGTAATTCGAAATTGGAATGTGTTAAAGAGTATTACAAGGAACTAAAGCGCCATACATCTATTGCAATATCTACTGAAAAAAAGGCATATTACAATCAGTATATTAATAATAACATTAATAATTCAAAAAAACTATGGCAGAACATTAAATCGGACATTATGCCGTCTAAAACAGAACGCGAAGTTCCTTCATTTTTTGATGATCCTAACGAAATTAATAAATGGTTTCTTAATGTTCCTGGAGAGAACAATGTAAATATATCGCAGCTAACATTTTATGAGTTTGGTAGATTTGGTCCCTCTACTCTTGGTCTTAAACCAGTCAGTAAGGACGCAGTACATAAAATTATTAACAACTTAAAATCTAATGCTCAAGGAAATGATGGGATTACTCTTGAGATGATTAAACTCACTATGCCTTATTCGTTGGAAGCAATTACGTCCATAATAAACAAATCAATTTTAAGTGGCACTTTCCCTGAAGCCTGGCGCACTGCTATTGTACGTCCGATACCTAAGGGTAATGATCCCACACAGTTTAAAGATCTTCGCCCCATTAGCATTCTGCCCTGTCTGTCAAAAATCTTAGAACGTGTAGTCTACTTACAAGTCTTTGAGTATCTAGAGACAAATGGGATGTTGCCGGACTTGCAATCTGGTTTTAGGAAAAAACGCAGCACAGCTACAGCTTTATCAGATGTGGTAGATAATATCTTGGAGGCTCGGGATTATGGCAGAGGTACTTTGTTGTGTCTTTTAGATTATTCTCGGGCGTTCGATTCTATTCAATTACAGCTGCTTCTTTCTAAACTGGCTTATTATGGTTTTGACACAGGGGCAATAAATTGGTTTCATAGCTATCTTTCAAAAAGAAATCAATTTGTAGAGGTTAAAAGGGAGGATGGTTCCGTTCTATCATCAACGCTACTTCCGGTATGTAGAGGCGTTCCTCAGGGCTCTATACTTGGACCTTTACTCTTCATCATATACACCGCGGATATTATTGATTGCATTCATCATTGTAGGTATCACCTATATGCTGATGATCTTCAGCTGTATTTATCCTTTGAGCCCGAGAAGACGTCCACTGCCGTATTAAAATTGAACGAAGATCTTACGAGAATTGCGAATTGGTCCGAAAAAAATTCCTTAGTTTTAAACCCCCTGAAATCCAAATTTTTAATACTTGGCAGCAGAAAACAGATTAATAAAATTGGGTTAGCGCAACCAATGGTCAAGTTAATGGATGAAATGATAGAACGAGTAGATACAGCGCGTAATTTGGGACTGGTAATTGATCCTGAGCTTCGTTTTGAAGCTCACATTAATGATATTGTACGAAAATGTTTTTATAGGCTCAAAATATTGTACAAAATGCGTGACTATCTATCTGTCGAACTGCGTAAGCGGCTAGTTGACACACTTATATTGTCAAAATTAAATTACGGAGATGTAGTGTATGGCCCATGCTTGTTATCAAGGACTGAACGTTTAATTCAGCGTGTCCAGAATGCTTGTGCCCGCTTTTGTTTCATGATACCACGAAGACATCATGTGACACCATACCTTAACAGGTATGACGTACTTAAAATGGCAGCCAGGAGAAAGTTGCATCTCTCTACTTTGCTCTTCGGTGTGATAGTATCTAATCAACCCCACTACTTGTACCAAAAATTAACGTGGAGGCAAAACTACTACATATTTGGGATGCGTGCAAACGTGAATGTGCTGAAAATTCCAAGACACAGAACGGCTGCATTTAGGGGTAGTTTCAGATATGCAGCCACTCATTGCTGGAACAATATCCCTCCACCATGTCGAGACCTGAAAGCGATAGTTACATTTAAACATCACCTAAAAAGACACTTCTTGCGAGAGCAGAAGTGTACATAGATCTCAGTATTTTATCATCATGTTTACTCGTAAGTAGGTGCCCACACTGTCCAACTATGCTTTTATTTAATTTGGTTTAAATGGAGGATACCATATATGTATGATTGAATGGAAAATACTTATTTTTTCATATACATATATTTTATTATTTTTTTTATGTTTTTAATTTTTTATATTTACAAATCGTTTTACATATATTACTGAATTTTATTGTTTCTATATAATTTATATTTCTATTGACACATATTATAAAGGTACATATCATTGTTTAATGGCCTAGGTGCAGCGAAATAATCACTGGTTAGGCAGCATCTTCGTTAAATAAAATTGTATATTAATGTTCATAACGGTAGATACTATAATTATTACTTGTTAAATTGAGTTTTTTTTTTTTTTTTGCACTCAATGCATGAACACAGCCTCCCGCGTCGCTGATCTGATTGAACAGTAATAGTATGGCTAGGTTAGGTGATAGAACACTATATATTGCCATCTCATTTTTCTTTATTCTGTATATGTGTGTGAATGTGTATGTATGTGTATATATGTATATATATATGTATGTGTCTGTGTATGTACGTGTATGTGTATATGTATATGTATAATGTAGATTTGTATATGTATAGAATACCAACGCACTACTTATATAACTGTTTTTTACTTGTGACGCTATGGTTCTTGCTGAAAAACAGCGCTGTAGCGCTTCAAGCGCTGCAGCAATATGCTGAGCACGGACCTACATCACAGAACATTGCGACACACACGCGCGCACGCGTACATTATAATTTAATTGCTATCTATTTGTATATAATTATTATTTTCTTTTGTTTGTTTTGTTTTTGATTTCTTTTGTTTTTGTTTTGTGCGCTACTGTGTGGGCCGCATGTTTCTTTTGATTAAATTATTTCTTTCTTTCTTTCTTTCTTTCTAATAAAAATAATTGCATTATATAAATTAGTGGATAAACAATTATCAGTACTACTAGAAAGCTTTTTTTTTATACAACTTAGAATGGCAAACAAGCTGACGGCCCACCTGATGGAAAGTGGTAACCGTCGCCTATACACATGAGCAGTACCGTGGACATAACATGTCCTCAGCAACGCATGGGGGGTATCCCCATGCGTTGCTATTACTGAGGACTCAGGTGTTATTCCTCTGTACCCTGTAAATTCACTGCCATATCCCACCCTTCAAACCGAAACACAGCCATGCAAACACAACTGCTTCACGGTTGAAACACGAATGGGACAGAGGTACCCGAGCAATCGACATTTGTACAAAGTCTCCCTCTGGTATCTCATCCAATGAAAAAAGCTAGGAACGCACTCCGCCTCGATATGTTATAGGTGTGGGTTCGAATTCTGTCAAATCGTAAGGAAATTAAACTTTTCAACCTAGTTAATATATTTTAAGATTCCCAAATGCAGAACCTTATAATAAAAAAAAAATATATCTCTGGCATTCATTATCATTATTCTCATATCAGCCTTTAACCGTCCACTGCTGATCATAAGTCTCCCCCTTGGGGGGGTTTGCCAGTAGTTGCCACGTTTGGCAGGCTGATTGGTAACCACAGTCAGGCTTTAGAGATATTTTAAAAGGGATGCTCCTGCCCATCCCTCGCCGTCTCTTAGTCGACTTTTACGACACCCACGGGAAAGGAAGGGGTGGCCTATTCTATGCCGGGACCACACGGCCATCTCGGGCATTATTATTTAAAAAATATTTTTAAATTCGTTTTAGAAGGTCGGCAACGTACAAGCCACTCCTCCCAATGGGGGGGAGGGATTGTTAGTAATGGAGACTAAGAATCCCATTGCTAGCAATATACCCAACCAGGTCGACCTCCTTGCGGTTCCCTCTGGAAACTATCATGGTTAATTCCCAATGAATTCATCATGATGGGCTAACTGGCTTGTTTTCATTCTCATCTATCACCCTTCACTGGTGCTCCGCCAGCGTATGCCGCTAGCGCAGGCGGGGTTACCATTCCATTTTCATCCAATAAAAAAAAAATCTCCCGATGGTAGCCGCTTACCGTCAGGTGGACCGTCAGCTCGTTTGCCTCCCTAACAATAAAAAAAAGAACTACGAGTGAGGCTGCGCGCGTTTGCTAGTGATTATTTTTGGGTAATTAATTTGCTCACTGACTTTCACGCGAGAGAAGTCATGTGTTTAACTTGTTACGAGTAAAACTCGGGCGCGTGACGTCAGAGTTTCAAATTAGTCACGGCGACGTAGCGTCAGCAACAAAGTTCTAAGTTTTTAGTTCTTTTTTTTTTACATGGATGATAATGGAATGGTAACCTCGCCAGTGCTAACGGTATACACTGGTGGGGCACCAGTGAGGGATGACAGGTGAGAATGAAAAGGCAGATCAGTTAGCCCATCATGATGAGAAACTATCGTGTTCAATTCCAAGTAAATTCGTCATGACGAAATTTCCAGGGATAACCGCGAGTAGGTTAACCTGACAAGGTGTATTGCTAGCAATGGGGATACTAATCCCCATTATTGCCAACCCCCTTTTTCCCTTTAGTTTTTAGTTCTATTACTAGCTTTCCGTGGAAGACCCGGCATAGAATAGGCTACCTCTTTCCTTTTCCGTGCGTGTCGTAAGAGGCGATTAAGGGAATTGAATGGTAAAGGGATAGGCAGCAGCGTCCCTCTCGAAACATCACCAAAAGCCAAACTGCGGTTGCCAACCCGCCTGCAAAGCGTGTGAGACCTATATTCAATAGTGGACGGTAACAGTTGATACAACAATAACAACTAGCTTTTACCCGTGACTTCGTCCACCTATTGTTGCCTACATCCTCCATCCTATATAGTACACGAATACCAAATTTTGACTAATATCTATTAAAAAATAAAGATTTAGCTGTGATATCGAATTGTAATGTTTATTTTAGAGCTAGATTTAATGAAGTAGCGCCTTAGAATCAACCCCTGTGGCATTATTATGATTTTGTTACATCTACAGTTTTCTAGTTATTTGATTGTAATTATTTTGTTTAATTCCGCTACCATTAGTATGTGCGCGACTGCCAACACTCGAAGATTGACCATCACTATTACTACCAGAATTCCATTCATAGCCTTCAATATTAGCCGTCAATCGCCGACTGCCATTTTGTTCATGCACGTTTTGCGACACGTGTTTCATCCCTAAATAAGGCATCTTCAGGCAATTTATTAAATTACTGTTCGAAATTTAGTGCTTAGAAACAGTTCGACGCTCAAACTGCGAATGTTCGCAGCCGAATTCAGTCGAAAATCAATGGCTAATATGGAAGGTTATGGAACTTCTGGTAGTAATAGTGGTGGTCAGTCTTCGAGTGTTGGCAGTCGCACACATACTGATGGGAGCGGAATTAAACAAAATAATTGTAATCAAATAATAATATGGACTGCCTTAAAATAACACCTTATTTTAATAAAATGTCCACTTTTTTGCTGACCCTATCAACACGGTGTTACCCTTTAAAACGACGCAAATAGAACGCAACGCGTACCACTGGAGCGTGCTATTGCAGGATTTACAGCTGTAAAACACAACTATTGTAACTTACCAGTCGAGGGATGGGCAGCAGGGTCCCTCTTAAAACATCACCAAAGTCTAACTGTGGTTGTCAACCCGCCTGCCAATCGTGGCAACTACTGGCAAGATCCTCCTTTATAGGAGAGGCTTATGTTCAGCAGTGGAGCGTTAACGGTTGTATGATGATGCTGATGATGAATTGGCATCATCATGTCAGCTCTTAATAATATTAATACAGATAGACGGAGACTTTGTACAAAAGTCGATTGCTTGGGTACCTTTGCCCCATTCGTGTTTCAACCGTGAAGCAGTTGTGTTTGCATGGCTGTGTTTCGGTTTGAAAGGTGGGATATGGCAGTGGGTACAGAAGAATAACACCTGAGTCCTCAGGAATGGAAACGCATGGTGATATCATGGGCGAAACAGTATACTCTGTTATGTCCATGGCACTGCTCATGTGTATAGGTGACGGTTACCACTTTCCATCAGGTGGGCCGTCAGCTTGTTTGCCATTCTAAGTTGTATAAAAAAAAAAAAGACGCTACTAGTTTTTACCCCCGAATCCGTTTGCATGACCGGTCAAGGCTATGTCCTTTTCTATTCCGTACTATCAGTACCTAGTGCATTCGACCATGTCGAATCAAACCGTTAAGACCCCGAGACGTAACAAACAAACAAACACTCACTTTCATACTTATAGTAAGTATTAATATAATAGATTTTTGTTAAGTATTGCAGGCGTTCATAGGCTGCGATAACTGCTTACCATCAGGTGGGCCGTATACTTGTTTGCCACCTCAGTGGTATAAAGAAATAAGATTAGAAATATTTATAGGTTGTAAACACTGCCATAGTATTTACTAGACACCATTATTTTATGTTAGATTGGACAATGCTCGTGAGGACAAGGGGGGTCTATTTTTGTACCAAGGACATGGTCAGCTCATAGGGTGAACACCGAGGGTCTAATAAAAATGTGGATATGGCATTTTACCCTCAAATCGTTTTATCATACAACGCCATCTAACGGTGGTAATTGTACCTATTATTAATGAACTAAGTTTGTAGGACTGATATTCTGTAATATTTTTTATTTATTTATTGGAAACTAACGGCGTTACAGTTAAGATTTACATGCTAATAACTGGTTCCTTATTATTCTAAGAGTACAAAATTGGTTTGCGCAAAAAAGGAAAAGTACAATGCAGACATGCAATCACAAGGCACTCAAATACAAAGTAATATTTACTAAATATCACTTCTTCACAGTAAATTATTTATGGTTGAGGGTCGTGAGCACCAGATAATAAATATATTTTTTATTTATACCACAAAGTCTTGAAAAGGGTGAATGAGAAACGAACATTAATAAGAACAATAGAGAATAAAAGAGGCAAAATGCTGGGCCATCTTACATGACATAACGATTTTTAAAGAGTATAGTAGAAGGAGAAATAGGGGGCAAAAGAGGAAGAAGACCGAGGAATAACTACATGGGACCAATAAAAGAAACACTAGGTGTCATGTCGTATGGGGAGGTCTAGGATATGGCCTCGGATAGAGCTGCCTGGAAGAAGATGCTTGAATTAGTTGCGCCGATGAGAGGAAACTCTTAAATTATAAGAAGAAGAAGATCACGAAGGTGGAACAAGCATTCAGCCTATCTGATGATAAATAATCACTGTAGCTTATGAGCAACTGCTTTGAAACATCACAGTACGTGACCTTTGACTTTACGTGAATTTTTAAATATATTTTTTTTAAATTGATAGCAAGCGGTGCGATGATGAAAGTTAGTTATGGGTATCATATTAAACAATTTCAGAGAACACATTACATTACTTTTAATATATAATGGATAAATAATAAATAATACATGATAGCTTTTCTATTAATTTGTAAATTGCAGTTTGCTGAGTAAATTTTACTCATATCTGTCCTGTAATTTAAAAATAGAATGACCTTTTACTTCGAAACATGGCTACCAAGGAGGTAACTAATAAAAGGTTTCATTTAAATTTCGAACTGGCTTGCAAATAGAAAGCTGTTTATTAAAAAAAAGGAACATAATGGCGCGTGAAAATTTTTTATTGTTCGTTATTCGTTTTTGAATTTTATTATTGAACTTAAAAAGTAAAATTGTGTTTTTGATTTCCGCGCATTGTTTGAGAAAAGTACTATACAAGCCTTGGCCACAACTAAGCATTGAAGGACTCACGTATGTGTGCCT